CTCCACCAGATTACTTGTTTTCTGTAAACAAATGCGTATTAGATCAATCGAAACCAATTTGAGCAACGCTTAGTTCCGTCGCTCAATGCAACCTCGCCAAGCGATTAGGTTTGAACGGAATTACGGATTTGGAGATTGATTCAAATAAACAGAATAATTTCATTTTACGAGAGATACAGTCGGAGAAAAAAATATTAGTCGTTTGATCGATTCGTTTTAATTACTGTGATCAATTGTGTTTGTAGTGTGCACTTGTTTGCTACGCAACGATTTCAATGAGCGTGAAATTACATCATAGTGATGAAGGATTGGGTCGGTTATATGATAAACTTAGTCATGGATAGAATAAATGAAGCGTGAGTTGAAAAGCTGAGAAGCCCTGGATAACTGTTCCCACTTGACTGGGTCTCGTCAGCAGTCTGTACCTACCGAAAAAACTGGGGATCGACCCCGGAACCCTATAGGCAGAACTCAGGAATACAACCCCCTCGGCTACCGGGCAGCTGGTCAATCCGCTTTTCATTTTCCACTTACACGATACAGCACAATCCATCTTTGTTAGTTTGTAGCGGGTATCGTACTTTGCGCATCTCTGCACTAGCCGCCAGTATTATGACTCGGAAAGATAGGTTGTTCTATTTCGTGTGCATTCCAAATAAGAAATTGTCTGGTTAGCTCCCTAGTGATCGAGGGGGTTGTGTGCCTACGTTCTGTCTGTGAGGTCCCGGGTTCGATCCCAAGTTGGGTTGACGTATTCGCATACTGCTGATGAGACCCAACCAGATCAAAACAGTCGTCCAGTGTTTCCAAGGTTTTTCAGTTCTCGGTTCATTTACTCTTTACACGACGAAATTAACGATGTAACGATGTAATTCCTCGTGATTGGTTTACTTCTGAGTCCAGAAGTCCGGGAAAAAAAACCATTTTGAAAGATAACATAAACCGAACTGAGGAATGCAATGTGTACTCCTTCCATCCGCGCCATGGATCAAGTTCAACTGCAAGTCCCAGTCCGTGTAAGATTGTATGTAGCACGGTGAGCATGATCGAGTATAATTGATTTTGGCGTGATCAATAATTAGCACAGTCGAAAACAGTCGTTAACTTTTAATAGAAATTTGTTGGACAGTCTATTGATCAATAACGTCTCAGGAAATCATAAATTATCGGGTTGATGGTGTAGTCTAATTCTCTATCCGACAACTGCCACCCCCGTTCTCCTCACCCCCCGCCCTTTCCCCGAGGCATGCGGAGACAGATGAAATCTTGTATATGACCTGCATGTTACACTTCTGCAAACACTTCTGCTGAATTGCATCGATCCGGGAATTCGAGCAGGAGGTGCAATATGGTTCAAGCAATTAGAACGGAATTGTTTGCAGTCAGTTTAGACCTGGTTGTTCGGTGCAAGTGAATACACCTGTCTTAGCGAGTGTGCAATAATCCGTCCCATACAATAACGACCTTGAGAATTTAGGGATCTTTTACGCGTGCTGCTTCAGTTGACTCGGTCAGGTCCGTGTTGGAACGAGACGGGACCGGACCGGAAGCAAGCGACCTTACACAAATCACAAGACAAATATGATTTTTATTCAGTAAATCCTATTTTTTTATTACGCAATTGTGTGATGAACAACAGAATAGGTGAACTCGATAGTCGTGAAAACTTACTGTTCCCTAGTGGAAACCGTTTACCTAAGCCCCGTAATTTGGAACGTAGAACCGTACAATATCCCGTTAGGTTAGACCCGGTATTAAATCGGATGACCGCAAAGCTGTCTTCCACAAAAGTTGGGTGGCTGGGTTCGAACCTGGAACCATGTGATATAGAGCACGGTAGTGACAGCGACTAAGCCACTGTACCACCACCCAAATAACTGAGTGCCATTCATTTTGGCGTGATCAAAAATTGAATGAATGGATGGCTAATTTCATATGGGTAACGTTTGCCATCTGGTTAACATTCAGCTCCATGTGCAAGAGTACTTTCTAACCTCACTTTCAGAGTAGAACAACACTGAACGTTGAAGCACTGTTCAACGGGTCAGAAAGAGGATGACTGTTTTAGCTCGCAACCTGATTCACTGGAATCTCACAATTGTTGGTTTTCATCAGATACATGTTACCGGTTCTCTAGCCGTAGTTTATCTTCTGCGACAGGGGACAAGTCACAACGAAATATATAATGCAATATCTGGGAAGGAATCGCTTTGCAAGGTTACCGTCCTTAAAAAAGCAATGTGCTATTCTCGACAGAGAACAGACACAAAGATGAATATTGAACGACTGTGATATGTGAATGCACAACTGCCATTGAAGATTGCTAGGCTTACTAGCGGTCGTTGAAAGGCGCTCTTCCAATGTCCTATTCGTTTCATTTTTTTCTTGGCTGTTTATTCTGATTGATTATATGTCTTAATTTCGTGCCTCTTTATTTACTTCTTTTATTTATTGAATAAAAAAATGTATAGTCAACTTTCAGGAAGAGGGCCGAGATCATACGAAGGCTGCCTGAGCAAATACAGAATCGGGGAAGATGAACAGTGGTGGACAAGTCCGAACCCGGGACCCCTAAGGTCACAATTTGGTGACCTAACCACTTGGTCGCCATCAATAAGTAATATTGATGCAACTTTCAGGGAGGGAAAAATAGACTAATCAAACAGCTGCCATGCAACACCGGATGTATCATTGTCAATGGTATCGAACATTAAGAGTTGATACCTTATGC